AATGCAAACGAATGGATAGAAAGGGATAAACATTCCTATCGTTTGATAAGAAACTAAATCCTATGAAAAGTATTGAACAAAACATTTGAAACCAAAACTCAGATCAAATACAAATGTGAGGAAAGCTATAAAAATTCAAATTCTTATCTTTGACTAAAAACCCAGAGAAATAAACGATGCGATCGTTTCAACCATAAGAAACAAATGACAAAAATATAATTACAATTCAAACCAATCATTACTGTTTGCAGACATACTTTATAATAAACATGACTTTAGATAAATAATAATTAAAACTAATATCTAATTAAAGTATATCACAATAAAATATAAGTTCACAATTGCCATTGTTCATTGTTTTAAAAATAAATTATACTCCCGGTCAATTTATTGATTATTGTATATTTTTTTTAGAAATCCATGAATGTACAGTAAATATCATTAATGTGGAAAATTTTACCATATTTGTTATCAATAAATGTTTTTATAATCACGTAATGGTTATTAACTAAAATTAATTAACAAAAGTATTCAAGATTTTAAATTAACCTTGAACTACTGTGATAATAGGAGCCGGATTAAGTATTAATATTTAATCAATGTACAATAAAAACACTTGACTTTAGAGATAACAACCAATCATTATAAATGTACTTTTGTAGATTTATTTAATATAAAATATAATTAGTATATAAAGCAAAATATTTTTCATTAATTTTTAATTTATTTATAATTAATGATAAATTTATTTAGAAATGTTTAACAAATTTCAAGTTATATTCATTACTTTTGTATGTTTTTGTGCCAAAAGTGTCACAAACGGCGACTTTTTAGCACTCAATGGCACCAATTGGTTGGCTATTAACCAAAATAAATGTAATAAAACTTTTAATTTAACAGTCATTAATAATAAAATTGTTAATTACTAAACTAATTCATTATTATAAACCACGTGTTTAAACAGCCATTCAGGTTAGAGCCCGAGTGCCGGGAAGTATATACTCAGACCTGAGACGGGAGGGCGTACTTAAGGAGTCCCTACTGTCCGGCGATAACGATGTGAAGTATCGGTGGGTTTCGTACGACAACTGGACTTTTGAGCGCACATTCAATGGTATTATACATCAAATTAAATAATTAATATAATTAAAAATCAATTAACTTTTATATTATAGTCGACGAGAAACTATTGAGCAAACAATACGTGTATTTATTGGCCAACGGTATCGACACTGTCAGCGAAGTTACCGTAAATGACCGACTGATAGGCCGTACAGACAATCAGTTCGTACGGTATAAGTGGGACGTAAAACACGTGTTAAAAGTGGGCCAAAACACGGTTCGTGTGTCCATACAGTCGGCGCCGTTATATTCATTGCAAAAGTCCAAAGAATATGAAGAGAAATACAAATATAAAGTTATTTGTAAGTAAATTATTATGTAAGTTATCGTAATTTATTAATATTTGTTTTTAGCATGCACAAAATCAGATAATACGGAGTGCTACGTTGATTTCATCCGAAAAATGGCCGCTTCTTATAGTTGGGATTGGGTTTGTATTGCAATCTCTCTCTCTCTCTCTCTCTCTCTCTC